CATAAGTTGCTCGGCAGGCTGCTCTATGTAAGTTGCCTTGTGCAAGTTGCTTTTTGCAATTGTCTGTGTGCAAATTGCCCTGCGCAAGCTGCTTTGTGCAGGTTGCTCTGCGCAAGTTGCCCTGCGCAAGTTGCTTTGTGCAAGTTGCTCTGCATAAGTTGCTCTGCAGGCTGCTCTATGTAAGTTGCCTTGTGCAAGCTGCTTTTTTTGCATTTGTTTGTGTGCAAATTGCCCTGCGCAAGCTGCTTGTGCAGGTTGCTCTGCGCAAGTTGCCCTGTGCAAGTTGCTTTGTGCAAGTTGCTCTGCGCAAGTTGCTCTTCGCTATGTAAGTTCCTCTGTGCAAGTTGCCCTGTGCAAGTTGCCCTGTGCAAGTTTCTTTGTGCAAGCTGCTCTATGCAAGTTGCTTTGTGCAAGTTGCTCCGTGTAAGTTGACCTGTGCAAGTTGCCCTGCGCAAGCTGCTCTGCGCAAGTTGTTGCTCTGTGCAAGTTGCTCTGCGTAAGTTGCTCTGCAGACTGCTTTGCAGGCTGCTCTATGCAAGTTGCTCTGTGCAAGTTGCCCTGTGCAAGTTCCTTTGCGCAAGTTGCTCTATGTAACTTGCTTTGTGCAAGTTGTTTTGGGCGAGTTCGTCTGTGCAAGTTGCTCTATGTAACGTGCTCCGTGCAATTTGCTCTGCGCAAGTTGCTCTGTGCAGGTTGCTCGTCGCAAGTTGCTTTGCGCAAGTTGCCCTGGGCAAGTTGCGTGGTTCAAGTAGTGTTGACCGTTTCATCGGTGCTGGTTGCTCTATGTAGGTTGCTTTGCGCAAGTTGCTCTGCGCAAGTTGCTTTGTGAAGGTTGCTCTGCGCAAGTTACTCTGTGCAAGTTGCTTGCTTTGTGCCAGTTGCTCTGTGCAAGTTGTTCAATCGTCCGTTTGGTTGCCCATTCACTCCTTCAATTGTTCAATATCTTTCGAAATGTTAGCTTTGTTGTTCATTTGCTTATTCCATTCGTTCGTTTGTAAGTGCCTGCATTCATGTGTTCATTGATCCTTTCATGTGCATGTCACGCAATCATCCGCTTCTTTCTGGGCATGAAGCTGTTCGTCCCAGTTACACACTTTTTTAGGGCGAAAGATCCCCACCTGTTGCATCCGTCCGTTCCTGTTGCATCCATCCGTTCCTGTGGTATGGTGCTCAAAACGTATTTGCGCATATCCCGCCAAAGGCCCAAACGTGTCAGACTGAGCTTGTGCACCATGTGGCTGGCAAAAGACATCAGACTGAGCACCGAGGAATTTCCACCCAAGATGTCAGCACTCTCTTCATGATCATCGACACGGACCGCAGTGACTTGACTGAGTTGGCATTTTGTTACAACTCCAACATCAGGCGGAACTGCTCGACACGGTTTCCAAACAGGGAGCTCCAAAAACGGGTGGGTTCTTTTGAGCTCTTTCATACCACCCGAATTTGGGCATCCTCAGACAGACATACCCATATCACTTTCTCAGCATGGCCTGTCTTGGACTTGGCGCGTAGCTTGAAGGCAAGGAAAGTTTACGCTTGGAGTCATTGGCTACTAAGACCTGGTCCGTGCTTTTGTTCCATGGGCAGCTTTGGTCTGATTTTCTTCAGCTGGCCCTTTCGTCACGTAAGGGATCCCGTAAATTGTTTTGCAGGCCAAAAGCATTGTAAACCGATACTGAGGAAAAACGATTCCCCCACCCAGAAGCCACGAAGACATGCGGAATCATAAAAGTGAAGGGCCCAGACCGATACCCAAACCAGTGCCCAACTCATTAGCCGCCATGCCTGGAGCTGCCGACGTGTACTTGGTGTACAACAACTCTACTGAAAAGTTGCGGTTTCCGCGCTGGAGCTGCCAAAAATTGCCAAAATGTCTTGGTATACTACACTATACTACACCTACTTGCAACGAAAAGCTGCGACTTTCGACCCGGCGCTGCCAAAGTGTACTTCGTATACTACTGAAAAGTTGCGACTTTCCAGCTGGAGCTGCCAAAATGTACTTTGTGTACTTTCGAGCTGGAGCTGCCAGAGTGTACTTCGTATGCTACACTTGCACGGAGAAGTCGCGACTTCCGAGCTAGAGCGGCCACAACACCGCCAACCGATGCTGAGGAACAAACGGTACTGAAGCATAAGGATATAAGGGTTGTCCACGGGGTCTTTTTTTCAACCCGAGGTGGCATGATCGACCTCGACGAGTTTGTCTCAGGCTGCATGCAGTTGCATGGTCCAGCGAAGAGCCTACAGATGGCACAGATGAGCCATGAGAACAAGATCACCCGTCAAGTGCCTGAAACAAAGTTCAGACGGGACGGCGCATTTTGCGCTGCAGGGCGGGGGAGAGGGGGGGAGGATTGCCAGCAGGAGCAGGGGACCTTGGTGGCCAAAAATCAGACTGCCGAATGAGATGTTGCACCATGCTGCCCTTGCAACCTGTGGGATGCACATCGTGGTGGTTGTTTGTGTAGAAGATGACAGGATTCTGCAAAGCACACATTTCAGTATTCACATTTAAGTATATAGGGTTTCAGGTTTCCGCAGTTGGGTGGTGCAAGTTCATCCTTCCTGAACCGAACACGAAGGTCTCTTTGGGCCCTGAGGGCTGTGAGGGCATACAGCATTGTCTCAACTGCCAGCATTGTTGGATGCGCAAGACCGTTGGTTGTTGCACGTGTTTCACGATGCCTCTCCGAAGGCCAAGGAGCTATCCAGTTTTCTTTTGTGCGCAGGATGTCTGGGCAGCAAGCTGCATGTATGTGTCGTGAGCTTCAATCATTCATGAAGCAGCCCTGCCTGAGCCGCAGAATTGTCTTGGCACTGCTATTCAGCATTCAAACTTCATGATGTAATGATCTCATGCCTGTCACTGAGAAACGTTCAAAGCATCCTCTTGTCAGCAATTTCAGCACAAACATTTGCCATCCTCGTTTGTTTATGCTATCTTTTATTTGGAGCCATCATCGTATATCATCGTGTGCACAGAAACAACTGTGAATAGTGAACCTTGCTAATTGTCCGAACATGATTCGCAGACCCCCTGATTGAAGACGCCTGATTTTTGCAGCCGACTGCCAGCCAATACTACTTTGAAGGCATGACAAGCAAGCCGGTCCTCTCCGGTCCTTTGGCCAATAGGACAAGAATAGGACAGTGGATGGAAGCATGTGTTATCTTCCGGGGCTGGAGAGGGCCATGACTAGTCGGGGGGGCTAGCATTGAAGCGGGAACCTTTTCTAAGCTTGTCAAGCCTTGCCTTTTGTTAACATTTGGTTTGAGAAATCTGCAGCCGCTGTTTGGTTTCTGGAATGGCAACCAACCCCTTGCGACTGACAGTCGCAAGGAGTTGGCATTGGCAAAATAATCTTCTATATCCTTGGCAATTAAGCACTATGTCTTTTGAATTTTGGATTTTGGGCCGGATAGGGGCGTCCTTAATCAGAGGCGATGCTCGGGATGTTCACGCTCCGCTTGCAGTCCCGCGCATTGGGTGCGGACATTTTGGGGGTTGTCAGGGGGCTTTGTTCAGAGCCAAGGATTTCCTGGTTTTGCTTGTGGTTCTCTGAAGGTCAACAAAGGTGCACCCCTGGGCATCCAAACCCACTTTTGGGGCTTCCGGCATGGAGGTGATCAAGCACCTCAGCAAATCCATCTCCACCATAAAGACGCAGATGCAGCACGTCTTGGATTGCCTGGATGAGCAGCCCGTAGGCACCAGTTGCGCAGTATGATGCCCAAAGCAATGCCAAACGGCACTGCAGGAGGCGCGCGAGACGCTGTTTTATCTTGAAATGTAGGGCTTTGAGGGAGTTCGAAGGTGATGCATCTTGTCAGTTGCCACACATGCATCTTCTGCAAGGGGCTGTTTTGCTTGGAAGAAAGAGGCTGGCCTCACGACTGTCTCTTGGTAAGTTCTGCGCAGTTCTTATTTGAGGCCGGGCAGTTGACTTTTCCAGACTATTTGTTCTTGAAAGCAACTGCAGATGAACCATGTGCTCGCTGCAAATCGTTGTCTATATGTTTCGCAGAGTGCCCTTCGACGAACGGCTCCGACGTTTCACCCCCGAGAATCGGATCCTCGCGATCGCCCGATTCAATGGAGTCGCTTTTGTGGTAGTTTTCATGTGCCGAAGTGCCCCGCTGTTGTCTCTCCTTCCCCTTGGCAGGTGGACCCTGCTTTGCGGTGAACTTGGAATGACAGCACGGCATGTCTTTTCAGGCCATGCTTTTATGGCTTGTGGCTCGGTAAAAAGGCGAAGGGAGCAGAAAGCGCCGTCTTGAGCATGTTAAGCCGCTAGGCCCTGTGGAACTGACAGCGCGGTAAAGCGTGAGCTTCTCCCTGGCCACATCTTTAATGCATCCAAGAAGGTGGGCGGGCTAGTGGGAGAGGTAGCGTGGCTCCTTATGTGTCTTTATTTCAATGGGAATTGCTGTTGGGAATCAGGCTTTGTCTTTTTGGTTCAAGCGTTTCAATTTGTCACGTCTCGCGAAATCCCCAACTCCCAGACCTCGTGCTCCCGTGAAAGCCTCGCAGCCAAGCTTGCAAGAGGCTCTCGACGCATTTTCAAAGTTTCCTCGGCGAACATGTGCCTTTGTCAAGCATCGGCTTCGGGGAAACAAGCGCTTCTGGCTGTACCTTTTTAGGCGCTTCGGAGATTTTCGCGCCGCCTTTGTCGAACAATTCACACCTTGTCGGGATTTTTGGAATGTCCAAGGTTGGTTTTGAGTGTGGGAATGTTGTGGTCGTGCTTGTCGCGGCTGTCGTGGTATGCCATTGCCGTCGCTGCTGCCAGTGCTTTTGGTTTTGCTGCAAACTCTGTTGCTCTTGTTGCTGAAACTGGAGACAGCGCCTGGGCCGAACCCTTGAGCCGGACTCATGGCTCTTTTTCTTTGCAACCACTTGTTTGCAAAGAGAGGGCCCACGTTGCTTTCCAAGAGAGAAACCTTGGCAGGACCTTTGCGCTTGCAAGTCCGCAGAAGTCCGCCCTTTTGCTGAGGTGCATCAGCTCATCCCCAACGAGGACATGCGTCGACGCGTGGAGCAGGCAGGGGGAGGTGATCATGTCTTGGGCATCATTGCTGAAAGATGCTGAAAGTAGTTAGATCGTGCCAGGTCCGTCTTGAACGGCCAATGTTTTCCAACCTGCAAAGCTGCCTCTGGATTATCCTGCAGCGAATCCTTTGCTCAGTTCGTGTAACCTACTTGCTAGGCACGATGTCCGGTAGGATTGGGCAGACGGTACCTATTGCTTCCTTTACTTCATGAACACATTTACACGATGTTTGCCGCGATGTCCATTGGCAGGGCCCTGGCTAACATACAGCCTGCATTGTTGTCAATGACGGAGTCGGCCAGCCCGCTAGGGTGTCTAAGAAAACCCAGCGGAAGGAAAATCATGAGTTTCTGCAGTGTTGAAGGGCTTCTCAAGGGCCACAGGGCTTTCACCAGAGCTTTGAGCTGCGTGACTTCATGAGATGTTCGCAGGGCGTTTCGAATTTGATAAGCTAGCTTGGACCTTGACACACCCCACCCAAAAGCAAAGGCACATCAAAGGCCGCAAGAGCAGCAAACGGACCAACTGCCGCGAGGCCATTCCAGTGAGCTACTGGAGCCCCGTGACTGCAGAAGACGGCCAAAGCTACTTCTACAATCTGGAGACAGGCTGGGGCCAAAAGACTTGTGCAGGTGTGGGGCTGATCAATGTTCCTGCGCCCAAAATGACAACGGGTAACTTCTGCATTTAGTGGGACATATCATTGTTTTTAGTGGTTTCCCAAAGCATGCAAGGAAACAGATCGAACGAGATGAACCTGATAAAGCGAGCAATGCTAACATTTGCTGGCCGCGCGTTGGAGACTTCGGACAGGGTGAAGGTGAAGTTGTTCCAACCAACTTGCCAAGCATTGGTAGCGTGCCAACTGCGCCTACGCAAGACAACGTAAGTAACACACACACACACACACACACACACGCATGCACACAGACTCAGCAACGTCTTCCTAGGCGAGGCCGCCTGGGAGATACCTCGCGGTGGCAAGGCACGACTGGGATTCGGCATTGCGTTCGAGGGATTCCTCGGCTGAGTTCACAGCAAAGTGGCTGCTGCCAGTTGCATGGATCAGTCAGTCCTTGCGAGCCACAACTCGCCCGCCCACCCACCCACCCGCCCAGCCACAAACATACGAGCAAGCAAGCACGATATCCAACAAACAACAACCAATCCAACAAACAACAACCAATCCAACAAACCGAACAAGCCAAACAAGCACACAAACCTGCAAACAAATAGTCAATCAATCAATCAATCAATCAATCAATCCAAACAAACAAACAAGCAAACAAGCAAACAAGCAAACACCAAACACGAGCAACACCAACACATACACATACACATACATACACACACACACACGGACACAGACACACACACACAGACACACACAGACACACACACACACAGACACACACACACACAGACACAGACACACACACACACAGAGACACACACAGACAAACACAGACACACACAGACACACACACACACAGACACACACAGACACACACAGACACACACACACACACACAGACACACACACACACAGACACACACACAGACACACACACAGACGCACACACAGACGCACACACACAGACACACAGACACACACACACACACAGACACACACACACAGACACACACAGACACACACAGACACAGAAAAACACACACACAGAGACACACACAGACAAACACAGACACAGACAGACAGACACACACAGAGAGACACACACACAGACACACACACACACAGACACACACACAGACACACACACACACACAGACACACACACAGACACACAGACACACACACACACACAGACACACACACACACACACAGACACACACACAATTGACACACACACACAGACACACAGAGACACACAGAGACACACAGAGACACACAGACACACGGACACACACAGACACACACAGACACATACACAGAGGCACACAGAGGCACACAGAGGCACGCACGCATGCACGCGCGCATACACGCACTCGCACGAACGGGCACCCGCACGCAAGCAGCACGCAGGCACGCACTCGCACTCACCCTCACGCACTCGCGCATGCACGGGCACCCACACGCCCGCATGCACGCGCAAGCATGCCCATGCATATGCACGCCTCAGAGAGCCCTTCCCGGGCGACGCCGTAATTAAAGTTTTGGACAGTTTCAGGCAGAAGAAAGCAGCAGAGAAGCCGGATGTTCTGAGAGGTGAACCCAAAAAAACACAACTGCCCGAAATTGCCCACGCACACCCGCTTTGTGCGACCCCCCGCTAAAAAGCCCCCCCCCCCCCCCCCACGCACGCACACGCACGTGCGCGCACGCCCACGAGCACGGAGGCACGCACCCACGCACACGTACACGCACACACACACACACACACACACCTATGGCCCCCACACCCAGCATGCATTGGTGGGTCCCGCCCACCAACACATGCACGCACGCACGCACCCACACAGACATAGGCACACAGAGATGCAAACATAGAAGCATACACACACACACCCACACACTACGCAGACACACGTGCGCCAGCCACACACAGACGCACTACATCATCACATTACGTCACGTGATTTCACATCACATCACATCACATTCCATCGCACATTCACACAACACATTACGTATCACACTTTTCGCACTGCACATATCAGTCACACATCACACGCGTGCACACAATCACACACCACGTTCAAGCGCTCCTGCCGTTCCTGCTTGAGAATGCTTGAACATTTCTCGGCTTTCTCAATGTTCACAGCAGCAAGCTGCGCTCGCACGGTGACACGGCTTTTGACCAAGCGACCCAAAAGAACGAGCACCACAGCAAGGAGCAGCGACAAGTTCAGAAGGCTTGAGGCGGGGCGTGGCCTGAAGCCATGGCAGATGAGACTACCTTGACATTGGTGCCCTGGCCGAGACAGGAGCATGGGGGATCAGCAAGGTGTTCTCCACATTTAGCGGGCACAGAGTCACATTTCGATCTGGGGGGCTCCCTTGAAGCTTATTTTTGAAGGAGGGCGCCACAAAATCCAAGCAATAAAGTTGGTTAAATGGACAGGTGCAATCGACCGGACTTTGAGAGGTAAGTAATTCTTGGCAAGGGGTTGAAAACAAACAGGAAAGCCACCAAGTATTTCGGAGTACGCAGCATGTCGTACAGCCATCTTGGCCCTCATAAGGTGGGCTTGGAAGGCTGTTGTGGTGGGACAGGCTTCTCTGGCTGGGACTGGATTCTCTGCGAGAGGCAGGTCATAATGGCCAGCAAACTTGCACACATCATGCAGGGCCTGTGCCAGGTTTTGGTTTTGCTTCTTAAAGGATTCCAGTTGGATAAGTCATATTGGGTGTGAGTGGCGGAATGAGTTCCTTGGTAGACTCCCATCTGCTTACCAGCTTTAAAGAGGCCTCCTTCCTCATGTTCAGGGAGGTGATCGGATCAGTTTCATTTAGTGACACGGAGTGCCAGGCACCGAACTCCCTTTCAAGACCCTAAATCAATTGGCCATGTTCCAAGAACAGACCAAGATTCGACTTCATTGTCTCCTGATTTTTTTGGTCGGGGCTTGTTTCAAGGTCACTCTCGGTGGCGAGAGCTTCCACTTCTCCGTGGGCCGCGATGTCTTGGTCAAAGACGTGCGTGCGAGGGCGGTGGCGGTCATGGGCTTCCGCGCTCGCTGCGCCTCGCTGCTGGCGGAGGGGAAGGACTTGGAGGAATGGGCTAAAGATCCGAGAGGTTGCCGCGGTTGCCCGTCAGAGAATCCCGAGTTTATGCTCCAATGCACCTCCTGGAGAAGCCCAGGCCTTATGGAGGGGTAAATAGGGGATAGCCCAAGAAATGCAATGTTTTTGAAGTACAGTATAGTGTAGAGGTCGACCGCCAAGCAAGAATGTCGTAGCATCTTTTGGCTCCTCATTCTTCTTCGGCTGTTTTCCGAAGAGGATCATGTGTGAGCCACAGATGGAATTTCTCTTCACATAATCCGCACAGGAACTGTGATGGGGTTTATGAGTGGAAGCTCGGCAGCTGTCGATTTCCATCGCAGGAGGACATGAAAGTAGACGCGGCGCAAGCCTCAGCGTTTACCACCATCTCAATGGAGCGTGTTGGACATGAAGGGAATGTACCTGATTGGTCGTGAACCTGCTGCAGGTCGTTGAGGGCATCTGAGCCACAATCAAAGCACGGGTAGGCCATTGTAATACTGGGTTTTGATTGTGATTCATTTCATGCTCAGCTGATGTCGGGCCAGAGGAGAACTTGTCAAGCTCATGCCGGCGCCAAAAAATCCCAAGGTCTTGAAGGCGGTCATTCTATTCAAAGATCTCTCTGCCATAGCTGCCTGAAATCGAGGTATCACATTTCCACATGACACAAGCTTTCCCCTCAACGTTAGTGAAGGCTGGACTGCTGCCCTCTTGAAAGGCACCGTAAGGCACCCCTTTTCCACTTCCACGTTTGCGAAAGGGTACACATGAGCTCACACGCATGTACGGTTGGTTCCTGTAGTATTTGTTTGTGTTACAAGTAGGGAACAACACCCCCTCCAATCTGTGCATGGTCTGCTCCTTTTGGGCTGACCTCATTCTGTGTTGGCCCATGAAAGGTGCCCAGTCTGGAGTGGCAAGTGGTCTTCGCCACTGATCGCAAAGCCTGCGCCAAAGCTGCCTGCGATGCACACGAGCTGAAAGAGCACAGGGCAGCTCGGCTAATTTGCGGTACCTTCGAAACATGCCTCCGAATCATACCTTGAACACACACACACACGTCACGCACGTGCACACACACACAACAGGAACACACACACACACACAACAGGAACACACACGCGCACACACCCACACCCACACGCAGATGCACACGCAGACACACGCTCAGACACACACACAACACACACACGCACACACGCACAAACAGGCGCACGCGCGCACACACACACACACACACGTGTCACGCACAGTCACACACACACACACACACCCGCCTGCGCGCGCACGCGCGGACGCAAACGCAATGACTCCCACTCGCGCGCACGCACCCGCACAGGCACTCGCGCACGTGCAACGCCCACGCACGCGCAGACGCACACGCAGTTGTGCTCGCGCTCGCGCGCACACCCGCACATCCGCAAACTCACATGCACTTGCACCTGCACCCGCACGTGCACCCGCACCCGCACCCGCTTGCGCCCACCACACGCACAAGCACACACGCACACACGGCACACGCACACGCGGACACACGCGCATACGCGCACGCGGACACACGCACACGCGGAACGCGGACCCACCCACCCACCCACCCACCCGCCCGCCGACCCACCCTCCCGCCCGCCCGCCCACTCACCCACCCACCCACCCACCCACCCACCCACACGCACACGCGCACACGCACATGCGAACACACACACGCACACACACCCACACCCCCCCACACCCACACCCACACCCACACCACACCCACACGCACACGCACACGTGCACGCGCACGCGCACGCACACGCACACGCACACGCACACGCACGCACCCACGCTCCCACGCACCCACACACACACACGGACACGCGCAGACACACACACACACACACACACACACACACACACACACACACACACACACACACACACACACACACACACACTCAGACACACACACACACACATGTCACACACGCATGTCATACACACATGTCACACACACAAGCACGTCACACACACACACACATGTGTCACACACACGCGCACACATGCGTCTTACACATGTGTCACACACACATTTGTCACACACACACACATGTGTCACACACACAGGCATGTCACACACGTGTCCCGCACGCCAGCCCGCCCGCCCTTTCCGCCCGGCCGCCCGCCTGCACACGCACGCCTGCGCGCGCACGCGCACACGCACAGGCATACGCACGCGCACACGCACACGCGCACACACGCACAGGCACACACACAC